AATACAAAAACCTCTTAACAATGTGCGGATGCACACCATCAAGTCACAAGAATCAACCATTGGCACAACCAGTAACAAAGCACAGCCAAATGCCACCGACTGGGGTTTTCAATGGAGTATTGGTGAGAATTCTTACCTTGAAATTAGATATTCGAGTCTTAGAGTTCACATTAGGGTTCGCTGGTTGACTGTTATACTAGCTTAGCTAGGCTCGTTCCTAAGAGGAGTAACGGGTGCGATAAGGGGTCTCATGATCCCACCAGTGAGGGCATATTAGGGTGGTTTTTGGGTACCCTTCTTTGCCTCCACTCTTTTTTTATTTAGCCAAAAAAAAAAGTACAGCCAAATGATTGAATTCCTAACAATCATAGTGTCACGGGGTAAAATTTATGCTTCGTGATGACACTGAGATCCTACACCCAGTCTCAGCCAAGCACTCAAAATGCTCACAAAAAACACACACGAATAGATTAGGAACACAGGAAGCAAACACACAACACACACAAGTTTTACAAGCTAATATCCCAACCTTTTCTTTCTCAATAAAGCCTAAGGGAACACTTAGTCAGGGTCTACTTACAAAAACATGCCCAACACTCTCTTGATACACTACAGATCCAACATGTATATTTATAGCATATAGAATGACAGTTACAAAACCCAACTGCCTAGACAACTGCATGACAGTTAAGATCTGCCCATAAGGCACCCACAATTTGTTGATGATGGTTGAGTCCACTCTCCCCATCTGTTGGTCATGGTAAGGGATAGTTACAACTGTTGGCTAACCCAGCCAACAACTGCTCTCAACTGCTATGCATACTGAGTGCACATGCCAGCAACCCCTCGCTGTGCATATGCCAGCATTCTGCACAGAACTGCCCCTGCATGTCATGCACATGCCAGCAACTGTCTGGAACTGTCACCATCTGCAGGGCACATGCCACAACCGTTCGGAACTACCTCACATGTTGTGCACTTGCCTTCCTTGCGAGCCACAACACCTGATTAGTCTTGCCTTCATGCCTAGCCCATAGCTTAGTCTTTCAAGCTAGCATTGCCCCACAAAATTGAGTCACCCGACTAGCCTTTATTTGCAAAGTCTGCTTGTGCCCACGTGCCCATGTATTAGCTGCTATGCCCAACCATGCATGGGGCTTCAATCCCACTAATTGCACCAAATCGTGCCCCATGTATAAGCTGCCTCACTCAGTCACGCATGGGTCTTCAATCACCTACTGATTACACTAAAGGCTTGCTTCCTCAAGCGAAACCCAGTTTGACTAAGCATGGGTGCCTTTGGGCGAAACTGCCTTTTGCCAACGCTGAGCCAAGTGCTAAGGGTGTAACACATAGGCACAATTAGTGAAACACAACTATATCCTAAAACAAAACTTCACGGCATTCTATTAAGCAATGAAGCTCAACCATGTCCAGCAAAAATCAACAAAAGATAATTTTCAATACAGTCCCCAAGCTACTTGCTATCAACTATGATGAAATTTTAAAAATAACTCCACTCAACTCTAAGAATGGATCATCAGAATTAATCAAACCCGACATCTATGAATGAGTAGATAATCTTTCCATCAACCCTGCACACTTCTCAAGTTTCATTGTCTCAACATCTTTGAATGAGTTAGGAAAGCTTCTTGAATCCCTCTCTTTCCAAATATAATAAACAACAGTTGTTAAACATAGCCTTATTGTAATTATCTTCAAGAACTTTCTTATCCATTCATTGGCAGCCTAGTTGACCAAAGAATCCCCATGACATATTCTGCATACATAAATCACATTTACTAATCACTGAGAATCACACAAATGCACACCCCCGCACACAACACACAAATGCACACGCATTGGTGGTGTTTTTACACTTTCTTTGAATAAATTCTAGCTTATGAAAATCAAATATGAAAATTCATACCCAAAATTAAATATTAAAAACTCTTTTTTTAAAAATCAAAATTCTCACATACACAATCAGTAACACTACACCTAAACAGGCAGAAACACACACACATATTGGCAAAAACACATACACATAGAAGCATTCACACACACATAAGGCAGAAACACACAACACACAACACACAAACAGGCAGAAACATACATACCTAGAAACGCACGCGAGCACACACACATAACTAGAAAATGCAAAAACACACACAAACACCCCCCACCCATACACCGAGAAAGACCCCTTCCTTCTCGAGAAACACACACTGAGAGAGAGATAGAGAGAGAGAGAGATGGATCAATATATAAAATAGTCTTAGATCTGCAACAATACTCTTAGATATGAATATATATTCTTCTATATACACATGTACTCTTAAATCTATGTACATATCTAGAAAGAGAGGGGGTGAGATCTGTATAAAATATTCATCTTTCAGAGAGACTTGAAGATCGAGCTTGAGAGATAAATCGACGTTACCGAAGATTGACTTTTCAAAGACGTTGCAGTTGAATCTCTCTACCTAAATGATGCACAACAATCGGAATGCAAACGAGAGAGAGAGAGAGCCGATAAAGAGAAATAGGCGAGAGAAAGAAGAGAAACCCTAGTAAAGGGGGTTCAAATACTTTCAACAAAAAAATAGTATTTTTGTAGCTAATAGGGTTTGATGGGTGGACCTCATTAAATTCTCCCTTCACCATCCATTTGTAAAAATTGGGCTTGTTTTCAAAACAAGGTAGATGAAAATAATGTAAACATAAACACAAAAACATTTTTTTTTTTGTGAAAAAAATTGAAAACAAAAACATAAAAACTAAAAATAAAATGGTTATCAAACGCAACCTTAGATATCCCGAATTATAAATTTGACAATTCTATTGTGGCTTCGTGAATTCTTTATTTTCAACGAGGATAATTTTTTTTTGACCCAACAAATTTTTTTTAATTAAAGTACAAGTAAGATAATTCAAACACTTTTAATTATTAGGATTAATTGCATTGAAGGTTCCCAAAGTATGAATTTTGCCTCATTTTGGTCCTCAATATTTTAATTATATTATTTTGGTCCTTGAATTATTTAATATATTTCTATATGGTCCCTCAAGCAGGCAATGTCTAGATTGATAACTATTTTTTATTATAAACTTATCACGTAATATTTAATATGGATAAAAAAATAATTTAGATTTCTCTTAGCTAAATTTCTATTCAAATTTTAGTTAGATTTCTATCTAAATTACACAATTTTGATTATGAGCTATCCAAAGTTTAATCAAAAACTATCCATATTGTACATTTTTTTAATCAAGAGTACCTAAATTTTGTTAAAAAACTATTAAAATTATTTTTTATCTATATTTAAATATTACATGACAAGATTATAATAATAAATTATTAACAATCTAGGTGTTGTCTGTTTGAAGGACTATATAAAAACATATTCAATATTTTACGAATTAAAATAATATAATTAAAATATTAGAGACTAAAATAAAACAAATTTCATACTTTAAATACTTTTAATGTATTAACCCTAATTATTATACCAAAAATAAAAATAACCTCACCATCTAGTTTTAACTCCCACGTCACTCACCGGCTTACTTCTTACGCTTCCGACCCCCCCCCCCCCCCCCCCCCCCCCCCCCCCCCCCCCCCCCCCCCCCCCCCCCCCCCTCCTCCCCC